CCCCAAAACCCCAAAACCCCTAGTGCATAGAATGAGGGATTTTATGCACGCATAAAATTATATGAATAAATATACTGATTTTAAAGAATTAAGTTTAATAGGATAGCTGTAGTAAATTAAAAAAAATCATATAACTTAAAACAATTATTTGAGCAATGGGTAACCAGTGTTGTTCTGCAGCTACATGCAAAAACAGGAAAATAGCAAACATAAATAATACATCGTTACCACAATCTATAAAACCTCCCTTGCATAGATAGAATTCTGCTAATGCACCGAGGAAAATACAGATTATTTAGAATGATGTAGATGAAAGACCAAATACAGCAACTGTTCACAATCCATTATATACAGAATAAGAGACACAGCAGCCTATTTTTGGGAATTCTAGCCTTCATAAACCAAACTTGAGTATGAGGAATCGTAGAGAAGAAGAAAAGCCAGCTAGTCCATCCTCAAAGAATAACTACAAAGTAGCTCCATTTCAGCATTCATAGACTTTGCAAGTGCCTTCTAGAAATTCTTCGAGGAATGCATCTATGAATTAGCATTATCGATAGAATACGCTCGGATCAAATCTCAGTATGGATAGAGATAACTTTGATGTTGATAATAATTGTGATGATTAAACTTCTAATGAGAATATAATCAAAATGCCCAAGCTCAAAGTATCTCCAACTATCGGAATATCTAAAGATTGGCTACCTCCTAGTCACTAAAAGTCTTTAGTGCCATCTTCAGACTAGATGGGCTAAGATGAATATTACATATCAGATGATGGACTTGTTGAGCGTAAAAGATCATCTATTCATTAGATTTTTGAAAAGAAAACCACCTAAAGTCCAAAAAAGTCACCTAAAATGTAGAGTCTTCTGCCTGATTTGCATCCATCAGGAACAATAGGTATCTTATCTTTTGGTGGAGGAAATAATGAAGGATTTGACTTCACTCTTCAGAAAAATAATAAGGGCTCTAATCCTAACACAGGTAGAGTATAGTCTTCGTACTCTTTAGGCCAAAAGTCGAATAAGCTTGATACTTTCAATTCTAGGTTGAAATCTAATAGAGTGCTAGATGATGATCCTATTGAAGAGTCTGAGGGAACTGATTTTGAAAGAGAAAATACAATGCCGCTTCCTTAAGAAATTAAGAAAGACTCTTTCATATCATAGGAATTTATTTCAAATGAAAAAACTTCATCGCAAATTACTCAAATTTAGGAAATTGAGGCTAATAAAAACTTTCTTAATGTTACTCAAACCTAGAATCTACTTATTCCTTCTGACGGGACATTAAATGAAGAGAATAGATTTTTATTTGGAGTTCGATAGCAGACTAAAGACCTTAAACAGTAATAAACTGGTAACTTTCTGCAAGATTCATTTATAAAGCAGAATAGCAATAATAATGATGATGCTGTATCTATAAAGAGTAGATTTGTAAAAAATGAGCAAATAGAGAATAGCAAAGTCTTAGATAATTAAAATTTTGCCTACTTTGTTGAGGACTACCTTTTTCATAAAAGCCAAAGCTAGAAAGACCAAGAAGATGCAATGTCAAGTCCAGTATTAGGAAAAAAGAAGTCTACTCAAATTTCTGATTAGAAAGAGTATTTCAAAGACTAAGGTACGCCAATGAGATAAATAGAATTGCAAGAAATGCTGCCAAATATTGATAAAAATGAAAATTTAACATTAGTATCACTTAATGAGTTACCTTTTACTTACAGTGAGATTAAAAGAAATCCAGATAAGTATCAATAATTCAAAATTTTAGTAGAAAATTGCGCAGATGATAAAATTAATCAAATAAATTAGTAATAAATTCAACCATTGTCCAATTCAAGCAAGAGATAAAGATCAACTTTAATGAATAAGAGAAATTCAGCTAAAAACTCTATACTTAAGAAGATAGACAGCACTCAGGATTAAATTGAGATAGAAAATATTTTGGAGTAACTGATGCCACTTACCAATACTGCCTCAATGAAAAAAAATAGTTCAATCAGCTCAGGGTTCAATGCTGCAATGGGTGGTAGCACTAACAATAAAAACTTACCAAATATCAAAGATAAAAAGATAAGCTTGAACACAATTGAAAACTAATTTAGCAGTAATGAGCATGAAGGACTTTCTCCCTAAATAAAAAAGATTTAAGATTTCAAGTAAGAAAGTGAGAAAATTTTGTATAACAATAAAGACCAAGAAATGGCACAAATAGAAATGATGAAGATGTTCCAGCTAAGCAAATAGAAGACCTAAGTTTTGGGAGCAATTCAATTTTCTAGTCTAGGGTTTCAATCTAATCTTAATTACGAATTGGAAAAGGGTAGCACGATTGACTCGAATAAACCGAAAATTGTTGGATCAAAATATCATTTTTAAACAAGATCATCATCCAAAGGTAGTATGATAGTTGACATGAATAGACACCAATCTACTCCATTATCAGGTGAAAAGTTTGGTTCAAGAAATATTTAAGTTAACAAGCCAACAATGGTTTTGAGACCGATAAAAAAACTGACTTTAAAGCTAAACAATAATTACGAACAAATTTAAGCGATTCTAGAAGAAAGAAAAGAGGATAAAATAGCTTAAGAAAAATAGACATTAAAAGCTATAATGAGAGTAAATGCTCCAGAAGAATTTTAAGATGAAGATAACTTTTTAAGCAGTGCGAAAAAACCTATTCATTGGAGATTCTCAAGTAATTCTGATGCTAACTTCCTTAAAGACTTTAATAATAGTGGCAGAAATAATATGCAACTTGAGTAAAGCTAGGATTCAAGCAAGAATTACAATAACTCCAACAGGAATATAGTAATAGCTTAAGAGGATAATTAAAGACAATCACCCCCATACTTAAGGACCAAAACATCAGACCTGAGTCCATTAGCTGAAACAATTGAAGTAAGTGAGGATTTAATGGCCGGTGGAACTTTAATTACAGATAATTAAAGCGATATTTCCGGCACTCCAAGTGAAATGAGAAACGGTAATAAAAATTTAACTTAAGTTTATTTAGTCTCTCAATATATGAAATCAGATATTAGTCTGAGTCAATCTATAATTGAAATTGAGTATGGGAAAATATCAGCAGGAGAAAATACGCCAAAACCAAACACTTACCTTTACAAAAATCAAAGCTTAGTTGATGTTTCCCAGCCCTAGACTTAAAGAAATGAAAATACAGAGAAAAAACCTAGCAAATCAAAACCACAACTTCTATAAGCAAAAAGTAAATAAATTATTAAAATCTATTAGGCAATGAAAATATTGTTGATAACTCCCTATAAAAGATAAATGAAAAATTCAAAAGTCATGGTAAGGTAGAGGAAAACAAAATAAATGATGATAATGTTAGTATAAAGAGCAATAACCTTTTGAATTAAGCTAATATATCCTACAGTGTCATTCAAAAGAAGGAAAATGGAAAGAAAAAAATAAATCAATACATTATCATGAAAGACATTGGTAAAGGAAGTTTTGGAAAAGTTAAGTTAGTGTTAAATTCAAATGAAAATAATAAACCGTGCGCTATGAAAATTCTTTCAAAGAGAAAACTAAACAAAATTTTTGTTGGAAAAAATAGAACAGCGATGCATGACGTTATGCAAGAGATTGCTATAATGAAGAAGCTGGTAAGTTTATTTATAGATATTTATTTTTTCATAGGATCACTAAAATATTGTTAAACTTTATGAAGTTCTAGACGATCCTACAGTCGATAAGCTCTACATAATAATGGAATATGTAAAAAATGGATCAATGATGTCTAAGCTCGGAAAATCAAAGACTATACAACCTCAGCATCTTTGGAAATACTTTAGAGACTTATTAACTGGAATGCATTATTGTAAGATAAATCTTTCATAACATTTATTTAAATTTAAGTGCATGAATGCGTTGGGATTATCCACAGAGATCTAAAACCAGAAAATATGTTGATAGATGAAACAGAACGTATTAAGATTAGTGATTTCGGAGTTTCATTTATTGTTGAAAATGGTTGTGATGAGATTTAGTCAACTGCTGGCTCAAATTACTTCTTTGCTCCTGAAATTTGCTAAGGCAATTCTTATAAAGGCAAAAAATCTGATATTTGGGCTGCTGGCGTTACTCTATACTTTATGATGTTCAAAAAGTACCCATTTACTGCTTCAAACATTCCTATTCTTTACAACAAGATTCTTAACAACGAGTAAATTTATATTATTTCATTCAATATAGACCTGAATTCCCTCCTGATGCTAATATCCTTTTATTAGATCTTTTAAAAAAGATGTTCATAAAAGATCCAGTTTAGAGAATATCACTTCAGGAAATTATAAATCATGACTGGGTCTCTTGCAATGGAATTCAACCCTTGCAGATACACTTATACCCTTCTATAACTCTTAATCCCTCAGATGCTACATTAGCTATCTAGCGGGTATCACTTATTGCAAAAATCAGACTTAAGATAAAAGCTAAAGTTCGCTAAATTAATCAAAAAAGAAGAACCTTAGGGTTATTATCCTAAAAAGGTTCCATAGAATAATGAAGCTTAAAAATATTTACTTAAAGATTAATTGAGATTTTTACACTCTTGATTTCATAATTCATGCATTGTGGGGTTTTGGGGTTTTGGGGAGATCGGAAGAGCACACG